AAAAAAAGTCAACATTTTTTGTAATGTTTATTTCTTTCTTATTATGAGTAATAGGATCACCATATTTAGTATGTGCGTACCTTGCAAGGTCCTAATGCCCGTCAGACAGTTTTCATTCGACCTCAACCTCATTTCATGGATCAGTGGTCAAGTCTATATATCAGATACTATAAGCAGTAGGTCTACTATATTTAGTATATGGAATGATTGTAAGGTGTACATGTCCAACTGGTAGGTGTCATCTGACCTTGACCTCATTTTCATGGTTCAGTGGTCAAAATTAAATTTTTGAGTTTTGGTCTTTTTTTCTAATACTATATGCAATAGGTCAACTATATTTGGTGTATGGAAATATTTTATGATGTACATGTCAGTCTCGCAGGTTTTATTTGACCTTGACCTCATTTTCACAGTTCATTTCTCAGTGTTAAGTTTTTGTGTTTTGCTCTGTTTTTCTTCAACTATGAGCTATATTTGTTGTATGGAAGGATTGTAAGCTGTATATGTCTGTCTGGCAGGTATCATCTGACCTTGACATCATTTTCATGGTCCATTGGTCAATGTTAAGTTTTCATGGTTAAGTTTGTTTCTTAGTTACTATAAGCAATAGGTCAACTATATTTAACGCATACGTTGATTGTAAGGTGTACATGTCTGTCTGGCATGGTTCATATTACCTTGACCTCATTTTCGTGGTTCATTGGTCAATGCTAAGTTTTCTTGGTTAAGACTGTTTCTTAGAAACTATAAGCAATTGGTCAACTATGTTTGGTTTATTGAATGATTGTAAGGTGTACATGCATTTCTCGTTTGGTTTATCTGACCTTGACCTCATTTTCTTGGATCATGTTAAGTTTATGTGTTACTTGTAGTAAAGCTTTATATTTAGGACTATCAACATAAAATCAATGGTTAGTAAAGAAGGCGAGACATTTCAGCGTGTGCACTCTTGTGAAAGGATATTTTTTGTTATCCATTCATAAGTTAAACCTTTCAAAAATTCGCGTGCGTCTGAAACTGTATATATATATATATAATCTACATCGAAAAGTACTTCCTTAAATATTATTTCTTTAAATGGCTATTACTCTATTGGCTTTGTGAAAAAAAAATGAAGCATCGAAAATAAACGGGGAAAAAATGTGAATGTTACTCGAACCTTGAAGAAAATCCTTTAACATCCCATTGAAAAGATTAAAAAAACTGTGCTTATAGACATTCGACTAAATTGCTAGCTTTTATTATCCCGAAAATACTTCTGACATTCTTTTTCGTTGAAATGTGTTAAAATAATACCAGAAAAAAAAATTAAGTGTTTAAGATTCGAACGTAACACGCCCGACGCAAATGCGGGCGCCGCGTTACCACTACACTACCTTTTCCGAATACACGACAACTCGGACCACAGACAAGTCGAAGCAAGACATATTGGACCAAATTTATGACAACTAGGACTATTTTTGAAGACAACTCGATCCACTTTTAAAGATAACTCGGACCAGTTTGAAAAATAATTTGGACCACTTCTGAAGGCAACACAGAAATGTTTGAAAGCGTGTTGTAATGGAGGTACATTCACGTCGAATAACGTCAGAAATCTTGCCACTGAATAACGTTTAACGGTAAAAAAAAATCTGTTTTGACGTTAACGATACATATTTGAGCGTGACGATAAAGAATCACTTTGTGAAATAATTTCGATGTAACCATTTGGAAAAGATACATTAAAAGATAGTAACAATTCGCCCGTTAGGCTCTAATAGGCCCACATAAGGTAATAGTAGGGAGCAAAGTTACATCCTCTTGACTTGAAATAGAAACAGCAGAGAAATGTGTTAATCATCTATGTTTTTTAATTATAAAAATATTAGAGATTAACAAACCTCTTGTTGATGAGATTTTTAACTTGTAAGGTCGCGCTTAATTCATATAACATTCTGGACTAATGATGCGATTTTATCACATGAAAGTAATTAAATTAACTTCGCTGTAAAGAGTACAGTCGACAAAGGAGGATGGAAAATGTTTGATTAGATCAATTAGAATAGTTGTCTCCGTAATTGCAAAATAGTCATTTAGTTCATTTATATGTTTTGGAGTTTAGTATGACGTCCATTTTCACTGAACTAGTACACATTTCTATTTAGGGGTCAGCTGAGGACCAACTCCGGGTGCTGGATTTTCTCGCTGCGCTGAAGCGTTGAAGGCCTATTGGTGGCCTTCAGCTGTTATCTGCTCTTTGGCCTGGTTGTTGTCTCTTTGACATATTCCCCATTTCGATTCTCAATTTTGTATTTAATAAATTGTTTGCAAATTTCAATTGTCTTATTTATTTGTTATTGACAAAGTACAATGGAAAATATTAAGACAGTGTTTTCTGTAAATTCTCACATTAAATGCTGAGCAACACATATTTTTGATATACATGCAGTAAATAACGAGTTGGCGATTTTTTTTAACATCGGCTAATAATTTATTTCTAATGAAATATAAAAAAAACCTCTTAGTCATAAATGATGTGTCATGTGTTTGATTTGGATCCAATTGATATCATTGTTCATTCAAACGAAACGCGTCTGGCGTACAAAATGTTAATCCTGATACAATGTATCTATGATGAATTTATTTACTCAATTATCTATACATTGAAAGAAGATGATGTAATATAATTTTGTTTACAAAATATAAGTACTTTATTTCTGAAGAAAAATAAAGAAAAACAACACTTAATGGTTTGACTGAATTGTTTGCATTAAATCTAAAATTAGGTTCATAGACATTCGCGTACTTTAAAAGATTACATCAGAGTTTTAAGAATATTTAAACAAAATTCTCTTTGAAAACTAAAGCACGAAAGCACCCCTAAATATGAAAAGTGTACCTGACTTACCTTTTCACGATAAGAATTTTCAGATTTCAGTATTTTAAAAATAAAATTGAGAATGGAAACGGGGAATGTGTCAAAGAGACAACAACCCGGCCAAGGCCAACAATGGGTCTTCAACACAGCGAGAAAATCCCCCACCCGGTGGCGGGCTTAAGCTGGCCCCTTAACAAAAATGTGTACTAGTTCAGCGAAAAGGGTCGTCACACTAAATCCGAAACATATAAATGAACCAAAATTAAAAAAAAAACATACAAGACTGTCTCCTGGAGCAGATTTCTAAATAAACGCTTTTATCAAATCAATCTTTAATATTTCGTAGACTTTTCCAACGAATTTATGAGAATACACCATCAGGATCTAAACTGATTTTCAACTGCCATTATAAGATGACAGCTGTACACGCGTAATTAACATTTTTCTTTAATATAAAAAAATTATGACAGGATAAAAAGATAAACTTATTTTTCATTTGTTCAACATAAATTGACTACAGGAGCAATAACCTCATCAACACGGTTAAAATGGTTTAAATTAAAGGAATTATTACCTTGTTTATTTTTTCTCCTTTCTTCGCTTCGTTGGTAACCAATTTCTAGTGATGATGACAGTTGTTCTACTTGCAGATAATGAGCATGTGTTTATGTCTCTATTGTACCGGTATTATCAGAGCAAGTGTATTTTTGAACCGTATTTATCTTCTTGTACGTAGCTGTTTGATGGCACTAATCGAGATTTAAAGACGAATTAGTAGTGTAAATGTATTTACTTTTTCACGACCTGGTACCGTAGAGCTTGAAATATAGATAATTGCCCTTGTTGAGGAGATCATTTTGACCTTATAAGTTTTTTATGTGTGTGTGTGTGTGTGTGTGGAGGGTGTAGTATTCAATATCTCAATTTCGTTACAAATTCTTAGAACAAGAACAAATTTACAATACATTCCATGGGTCGTTTCTGCAAGATAAGTCGATCAAGATGAAGGGCGAGAAAGTAAGACTGTCGATGGAAAAAAAGAGTACAAATTTGATCGGGTCCGACATGTTTTCTTGCAACAGATAACCTACAGACCCTTCAAAAAAGGTTATATCGAAAGTTGTTTTATGTGCAGAGAAAGATTAAATTAACAATTTAGAATATTTAAAAGCAAACATTTTACATTGTAATCCAAATACAAACATTCCAACAACAGTTTCATAAATGAAGGGTATCTAATCCTCAAACGTTTTCCTTAATTATCTTTATTAAAGAAACGCAATGAATTATGTACAAAAAAGCATATATTCATACGGTTAGGTTTTTCGAGTATAAACTTGGTAAAAATACTTAAAAAAACTGCTCATTTACAACTTATCAGCAACTTAATATGGGGAAGTGACACTGCTGAAAAAGATACAGTGTCAAATTTATTATGCTTTTCATTAATTTATATCTCTAGAGAGTAATTTCTACTGTTTCTTTCAATCTGTTAACAGAACTGATTTTACCCATAGACCCCATGCTTCCTCCAACAATATAATCAGTGCATCCTTGCCAGCCGCAGTTTAACATCGAATTTTTCAAGACAAACAACATTAATTGTTACCAAAATGGCTTCCATTGCAAGAAATGATCTTTGGTTTTATTGTGTGGCCATGAAAAAGTATAGTGACAGAGTGCATATTTCCCTAAAGGGGTAACTTCAGTAAAAAGACTATTTCTTGAACTAAATTTATACCTGCTTTACCTCTAGAAATCAGAAGCTTTCATATATCATTCATATTAGTACAAATATACACCCATTTTTTACAACTATAAATTCATAGGGTCATGTGGCATTTATGAGCCATTCACATAGCCTTGTTTACAAATTCGTAGATTCGCACTATATTCCTACTCTGACCCCATCACTTTTCAACCCTGTAGCAAAAACAAATAAGTGAATTCAACATTCATTGTTTTATTTTTTTAACCCTTGTTTTGATCCATCTATCAAAAAATATTTATTACAAACATTATCAACCAATCAGTGGAGCACAGGACTTCATTATACAGAAAGCTCTCCCCCAAATGGGCGGTCCTTAATGACGTTTATTCATTTAATGCATTTACCCCACCAGGCATGTAAAGTTGAAGACTTAGTTTATTATGTAATAACATAGACGTAAACATATATAAGCAGAGGTTGTAACCGAGTTTAAATAGAAGATAGATTTATCATACATGACAAGTATGAGCAAAATGTTGTGCTTGATTCTACTACTTACTATTACTGGATGCAGTTTAGGTAAGATTTATGAATGATATATGTTCAGTTATATTTATTTAGATTGATTGATTAATTGATTGCTTAACGTCCAGTAGCAATTATTTAATGCACTGAAGACGAGTAACTTTAAAATCAATTATTATATTATAGTAAGTTTCTGCATGGTAGGTGTTAAAGTGAAAAATACAGCTGAATAGATAATGCGGTTTTGCAGTACCTTTCTTCATTTAGTCCACAGTACAGGTAAAAAGATAAACGATTTACATCAACAAGGTTAATCATGAAATGCGCATAGGCGGCAATTTAAATGATTTGCATGACATATGAAGACAAATGCATTAATGAAGAAATGTTTATACGTTAATTAGAAATTGACTCTTTTAAATGGCAAAACATTAGTAGTGAAAATGATTCCGCATTTTTTTATGCATGTGTGTAAGAGTTGTGTTTGTTTGTTTTGTTTACATATGCTCGTTTTTCTTAGAAAATTTTATTTAAACTTATAATGACATTAGTTGAAAATTTGTTTAAATGGGAGCTTGTAGTAGTTTTTTTTTTTTACATTTTCTGTTAAGTTTTACAGATTAATAATGCGTGTCTCTACCACATATAGCAGTTTCAGGAGTAGCTTACAAAATGATATCTCAAATACTCAATCGATACGATACATTTATTTTAATGATTCAATTTGAAATATTCTAACTAATGAAATGTAAACTAGTAACGATTTGTCCTTTTAGTGTTTTTACTTCCTAATTGCATTCGCTCACGGCTTAAGGCAAGCTTAAGTAACCTACATTACTTACACGAGGAATTTCTAGAATAAGATACTTATAATGAGATTCAATTATATTCAAATACAATAACCCTAAAAATCGTAAGGCTACATAAATGAATGTTTATATCTGTATTTGTAAATAAATTGCGAATGTCATAGTACAATTAATTAATTAAGGAATCTCTGTTATGATATTTATCAAAACCTAAATGAGAATATCTAAGTTGAATATGAATTTGCCAAATAAGCGAAGAATAATCTAGTATAGTTCAATATTGAAGAAATGACTCAAGGAATTACAGAAAGAAGATAAATAAGTATCCTTTCAATAATAGTCTTAGTAAATTTCATACCACAAAATCGAGAACAGGAGATTTTAATTTTTGCGGTTTTAAATACACTGCAACTAAACAAAGTTATTTAAGAAACCAAATACACATGATAGTTAATATATTTTTATAACAAAACGATATACATGTAAATAAGAAAATTAAAACTCTCAGAATATCTCGTCATTCAAAAGATGTTTTCTAATATAATGTGACTAGCCACGATATTTCAAAGCCTATTGGGGACCCTTGTATAAAATGGGATCTTCGCATATTTATTTAGTACATACCGAAACAAAACACTCTGTCATGTTATTATGACCTATTTGTTGTAAAAACAATGCAACGAGTCTTTTTGAATATCGGCATAATGAGACTATTCGATGACGACTTTTTATTATCGAAGGCACTAATTTATAAAATACAAAATTATTATATCTTATTTTTTGGCGCTTAGTAATGTCCAAATGCGTATTTGAATACAAATTTCAAAGAAATTAAATTTACTTAACTACAGTACAAACAGTTCTTAGCTCTCATTCATAAAATGTTATTTAAATTTGTTGTAATGAAGTTTGTATACAATTTGTCAAAAAGCTTTTATAGTTATTATTTCTTTAATTTGCCTTTTAACATTGATTTATGTACATGTCTCTACACCACTAAGACTGCGAAGCGTAACAGTTTGTCAGTAGTTGTTCTCATATATAAATTTGAAATGGTCCATATTTTATGATACATTTTAGATTCCGTTGATGAAAATCTATAAAGCAGAGAATTTTGATTTTTTTTTTATTAATTTAATATGTAGATACAAAAAAGTTTCACTTCTAACTATAACGTCAATCTTCTTGAGAACTTTTTGGGATGTATAAATACCTTGTCACGTCCGGTCTGTGTTTTTGTAAGATGTTTTCTGCATTGTATCGATCTGATGAGTTAAGCCTTTTTCAACTGGTTTTTTATTCAGCCATGCTGGATCTATGTGATCACTCCCGAATTTGAGATGGTGCAGAATTCTAAGTTGATAACATATCATGAAACTAATCATGTGATTTTATGTCTTGCAGAAACTTTATACATCATTTGAATCACCAACTACCAACTTTTGACATGTTATTTGCCCTTAAATTAAGAAAGTACAAGTCAAACAGGTACTTTATTTTAGATATACACTTGCATATAGTTCCTTTGTAAATCAAAATTTATAATAAATCAATATTCATGAATTAATGTGAAAAAGTAATTTATCAAATTTAAGCAGTTGATGTGAATTATTAAATAAGTAATTGAATAAAATTTAGTACCATATGTGTATTGATATCAAAGTTGATTCCCACACTTTTTGAATGCTATTATTAAGCTAGCTATAAAACCAGGTTTAATCCACCATTTTCTACATAAGGAAATGCATGTACCAAGTCAGGAATATGAAACTTGTTTTCCATTCGTTTGATGTGTTTGAGCTTTTGATTTTGTCTTTTGATAAGGGACTTTCCGTTTTGAATTTCCTTGTAGTTCGGTATTTTGTTATTTTACGTTTTATTCCAATTCTTTCCTTAGGCAAGTAAGAGAATTGAAACAAATACAGTATGAAAGACAACTGTCATAATTTACAAACAATTACACTAATTAGATCACCTCCACTTTTATGCCAATATGACCACAATTAATATATCTTGTATAACATAATGGAATACACAAGTATATGACCTCAATCATTGTGTATTCAATAAATTTTGATCTACACTACATAACATTATTCTGTCAATTATGTCTGATAGATGAAGGATTAAAGATTAAAAGGGGGCATTTTTGCAAAGAAAACACAAAAAAGCAAAAAAATGTATAAACAATGCAAGTAGGGTCTATTTTACTTGTAAACTTAGTGTTATAATCATCTGATACTAGCCAATAATTAAGGTTAATTTAAGTTACAATTATCATTAATTTGCCTGAAACAATAAACAAAATTGCATAACTTTAACTTGGGGATTTTCAGCAATCAAATGTATTTTTTTTATTCCCCATTATATTGCTATTTAAAAGTGTAAGGTACTTGTACATGTATTTGAATACATGATTTTGTTTGTTCTCATTGAAGAATGAACATCAATTAAAATAAAAATTAGTTATTTATTTATTTTTGTTGTTGAGAAAGTGCATTTTTAATGCCTCTTTTAGGAAATTATTAAGTCAAACTTCAATAAAAAAATATACATGTCCTTCCTTTGAAGATTTCTATTTCCAAACATGTCAAAATTATTTGATTGAAAAAAAGAAGATATTAAAAATCAGTACTACTTCTAAAAACTGTAATGTCAAAAGAATTTCTCTATCTTTGAGCCATTGAATACAAGTTTTTTTTAGGAATATTATTGAAATGAAATTAAACTGTTCATCTTCAGTGTCATATAATTTTTATCAAAAATCAATAAATGATCCTTAGATGAGTTAGAAAAATTGCATACCTATCTTTAAACATAGAAATATTCCCGAAAGCAACCATTTTCATGTAAATTTAGGGAGACAAGCTTGTTTTATTAAGATTTAGTGATCAACTCAAAACTGATAAATGATCGTCTTTAATCTTTTTGAATTTCATCTTGCAGAAAAAGATTGAAATAAAAGAAAATGAAAAGAAAATTAAAAAGAATCTATTTTTTTTCTAAAATCTCTTGTATACGAAATTGAACAATTTTGCAAACTTTAAATCACGCTTAGATCGATTTGAGATTACTCTCTCTCGGATAAAACCCACAGGAAACAATTGTAACTGTACAAAGAAAGAAATAAGAGACGAACAATTAACCAAAAAATAGACCAATACACCTAGATACATTGATATCAGACAAGAATATCGATTCCCTACCCATATTAATCTGGATTTATTATAGCCTTTTCAAGCTAAGCAAGAGTTGTGTCCCTTGGTCTATCAAACTTTCGGCAATAGTTTGAGTCAAACTACGAGAGTATTACGGATTTATTTCTCTGGCCTGGCAGACTTCGAGATAACAAGAGTCGACTATATATGTAAACAGTTTCAGAAAAGGTATCACTCCCAGGGATTGAAATTCTACTTTTAAACAAATTTTGGGGAAATATTTTATATTTTGACACCCCTTTTTGCAATATTGTATAGTAACTGAACGCAGATTGTTGTCATGGATACACCAAAAAGAAATTATATTTCTACTGATTACATACATATGCACATATGTCATATAAACAGAACCAGAAAATTATACATCAAAAATTATATTTCTTTAATTTAAGCCAGTGACCAGCCATGTCTAGATTTAGGAGGCCATTGTCAGTATGACAGTAACAGATGTATTGGTTCATATTACTCGGGGAACTGTGCTGGAAGTGCTAACAGACGTTGTTGTATAGTGGGTACGTAACCAAGAAGTATATTAAATATGGCGCAATTGACTGTCAATAGAATCACGACTTTCAATAATCATAGGTCTGTTCTATGTTCCTTTGGAATTTCAACCAAAGATAAAGAACTGGATCTTCCATCACAGTATTGGATACCTAAACTACATAAGTGTCCTTACAAACAACGGTATATTGCTGGGTCTTCCAAGTGCTCCACGAAACCTCTCTCTAAATTATTAACATCTATTTTATTAGCAATCAAAGATGGGCTCCAAACATATTGTGAAACTGCCTATTCTAGAGGTGGCATGAATCAGATGTGGATACTAAAAAATTCCAAAGATCTTTTAGAGTACATACAATCTAAGACTCTCTCATCTTGCAATAGTATTAAAACATTTGACTTTTCTACACTTTACACAAGTATTCCCCATTCCAAACTAAAAGACAAATTGAAAGAGTTGGTATTACTTTGTTTCATTAAAAAGAATGGCAAACGTAGATACAACTATCTTGTCTTGGGGAGGGATAAATCCTACTTTGTGAGGAATCACTCTAATTCAAACAAAAAATTCTCTGAAACTGACATTATCACGATGCTTGATTTATTGATTGACAACATATTTGTTATGTTTGGAGGACGTGTTTTTCAACAGACTGTCGGAATTCCAATGGGAACCAATTGTGCCCCTCTTCTTGCCGACTTGTTTCTTTATTATTATGAGGCTGACTTCATACAGGAACTTCTTAGGAAGAAAAATAAGAAGTTAGCAATATCCTTTAACTTTAAGTTCCGCTATATAGATGATGTTCTCTCACTAAATAATGCAAAATTTGGTGACTAAGTTGAACGAATCTATCTCATCGAACGAGAGATAAAGGATACTACAGATACAGTTAAGTCTGCCTCATATCTTGACTTACATCCAGAAATTGACAATGAGGGTCGGTTGAAAACAAAACTTTACGACAAAAGAGATGATTTCAGCTTCCCAATTGTGAACTTTCCATTTCTATGTAGCAACATTCCAGCAGCGCCTGCATACGGAGTATACATCTCCCAATTGATACGATATTCCCGGGCTTGTATTTCCTATCATAATTTCCTTGATAGAGGAATGCTGCTCACAAGGAAGCTATTAAACCAAGAGTTTCAAATGGTGAAGTTGAAATCATCCCTTCGTAAATTTTACGGACGCCATCACGAGTTGGTTGACCGTTATGGAATAACCGTTTCACAGATGTTATCGGATATGTTCTGTATGTCGTAACTACAAAACCCTTCCTTTTCACGAATGTGATCTACCGAATTTACCGGATTTGTAATAACATAAGCAACACGACGGGTGCCACATGTGGAGCAGGATCTGCTTACCCTTCCGGAGCACCTGAGATCACCTCCAGTTTTTGGTGGTGTTCGTGTTGCTTAGTCTTTAGTTTTCTGTGTAGTGTCGTCTTTACTGTTGTTTGTCTGTTTTTATTTTTGTTTTTGGCCATGGCGTTGTCAGTTTGTTTTTGATCTATGAGTTTGACTGTCCCTCTGGTATCTTTTGACCCTCTTTCTCAAAGAAGTCGTGAATCATAATTCATGTCTTTTAGATTTCTTGTTCGAATTAAATCTATCGAAATATGTATGTTGGCAGTACATGAGACACAGTAAAATATCTGTTTCAGAACTGGTTTTAGAGCTACAGAAAACGAATTTGCATAGCATTAAAGATAATAAGCATTAATTGACCGCTAGATACATTTTGGATGCTAATCCCATGATAATGGTAATTAAGATGATGAACGTTGAAAAGATGTCTCCATAATTAAGAGTTTCTAAAAATGAAATGTTGACGTATTCAAACATATGGTAGTTATTGTTACATGGTTAATGGAATAAAGCGAATTTTATGGAGATTTATGGAGTCATTTAGATCAACCGTGTTTACTACATATAAAAAATATATCACTAGAGAACAAATCCTTTAATTGACCTGAATGATGTTAAAGGTAAATAATGAAATGCGTATCTCTGGCAATTTTAACGATTATCATGACATGCGAAGATAATGCAAAAATGTAAACATGTTTGTATATGAATAAGAAATTTACACTGAAAAAATGGCACAAAAAAGTAGTAAAAAATGTTTTATGTATGTGTGTTAGAGTTGCGTTTGTTTGTGTTATTTACATACTGGTTTTGATTTGTATCAAGTTTTTTGCATTTCACAAATTCTTCAAGCAAATCAAGGAAGAGAACAAGTGAAACAATTAAACTAAATGGGTGAAAAGAAGGAATACGGTGAACATATTAATGACACAAAATTTTGGCACACATTTCACAAAATCAAAGCAAAAGAAAGGCGCTTTTATTAGTGAGCTTGATCTCAAAGTCTCATTAAAATACACCTGTGACGTAAATCTTTTGTTCAAACTCTACATTATTTTTCAGGAATGGAGAGTTATTTTCTATTGTTCATCTTCACTCATCCGGACTTTTTGCCCTTTGGATATTTTCATAGACACTTTCTTTAAAACTGTTCACCCATGGACATAATTCTAAAGGACGAACCGGATATTTAATGAAGATGAAAATGGCTTATATTCGATTAAAAAAAATTGGGAATCGTAGTAATACAATGAACACCAAATATATCATTATTAACAGCGTTTATTTTCGAGCCGTAATTCCATCGTATAATATATGACATATATAGTATCGTATTCACTAAAGTTCCACAACATTATCCACAATCAGTTGAATTCTTTTGTGATTTTGAACGCATTAACATTATTCAATAAGGAAAATTAGAGAAAAATATATTTCACTTAAAAATTTGCTTTTAAATTTACCGTTCAAGATATCAATTCCTTGAAATTTGAAGTGTTGTATTTTGATTTTGTACAGCAACATTTCGTTTGTTTCATTGTAATATGCACATTAAATACCAAAAAATACAATAATATTGTGGTTAATAGAATAAATAGTTAAGTCAAGAAACTGAATTGTTTTATATTTTTTATGTCGGGGCTTTTTATAGCCGACTATACGGTATGGGTTTTTCTCATTGTTGAAGGCCGTACGGTTGCCTATAATTGCTTACATCCACTTTATTTGAACTTTGGTGGATAGTTGTCTCATTGGCAATCATACCTGATCTCCTTATTTTTATACTAAAATGGCGTATTCGGTATATTATTTGATTGTTCGTTGTTATAATTTGAATAAACAGATAAAGACTAAAGAATAGAATTTGAGGGGTATGAATAACATTTGAATAAGGCCTGTGTTAAATATTGGCCTCCGCTCCATTATTTCCCAGGGATGGACAGTTATTTGGACTTTCTCTAACATAATGTCTTCAACCAGAAGCTAAGGTATGCATCACACTGCATCTGCACGACGGTCTATAGAACTTAGAGTTAAAAATTGAAAAAATAAGAAAGAGACGGCATACATGAAAGGTGATTATTTTTCAATTTAAGACGGTGACGGTGACCAGCCATGTATATATTTAGGAGGCCATTGTCAGGATGACAGCAACAGATGTGGTGGTTCATATTACTCAGGGAAATGTACTGGTAGTGCTACAAGACGTTGTTGTACAAGGACAGCAGTGGGTAAGTAACCGTAAAGTATATCAAATATGGTACAATTGACTGTCAATAGAATTACAACTCTCAAAGAAGTCGTGAATCCTTATTCAAAGAAGTCGTGAACCATTATTCGAGTCATTTAGATAGATTTCTTGTTTGAATTATCCCATAATGTATGTTGACAGTACGTGAGTTACAGTTGAATATTGTTCAGAACGGATTTAAAGCTACAGAAAACGTGTTCGCATAGCTTTAAAGATAATAAGCATTAAGTGACCGCTAGATACATTTTGTCTGCTTATCACATGTTGCTGTGGAAATATTCCAGCCAAAATAAGAAAGCCAATTACATAATTATAAGGATATGTTGTAAAACGATTTTTATTTACTAATACATTCATTCGTGAACTATGGGAAAATCAACAATGATTAGTCAAATTAGTTTGTTTCCCTGATGACTCATGACAAATCTCCCATATCTACTGAAGAAATCTTGAAAAATTTAGTATAAGAGATTTTCAAAATGTACATATCATTACTTCACATATGTAGATTAATTCATACTTTCTGAAGTCAAATACATACATTTGGGAGCGTTGACTTTACCATGACCTGAATAGAGCAACCAAACCGGACTAGATGAGTATTTGGACCATACGTGTATTCTCATATGGTCCGACCATACTCGCATGTCCGGGTAATTATTATGATGAACGTTAAGAAAGGTGTCCCATTAATCAAGAGTTTCTAAAAATGAAATATTGACTTATTCCATCATATGGCAGTTATTGTTACATGATTAAGGGAACAAAGCGAATTAATTCAGATTCGTAGTGAAATATTTTTTACATTTCATTATCCGTTTGTTCTTACGAAACGCAATATTTCGAAAAAACTTCAAGAAATATCTCAATGAAATGTTAAGCAAGAAGTCAATTGCTTAACTCATGTGAACTTACGTAATTGAACCCTTTTTTTTTTGTTTGAAATTATTTTGGTGTTTAAATTTGTTTTATATTATTATTTCTAATTGGGTTTTAGTTGAATAATGTGCTCTTGTTCATATTCATACGATCTTACAATGACAGTAAGATCGTATCAAGTGGAGCAAGAACACATTATTAATTGATAATAAGTAGACATAAGAAGATTTTTTTTCTGAAATAATAATTTTAACACTAAGCTAAATCAATTCAGTTAGCAACGTGTGCCGTTTTGCCTGCAGAGAATGAGCTGTGTGTATTTGCGAAGAAAGTTAGAATTGATTAGAAAAATACCTATATGGTCTTAAAACTCACATGGTCCGGCCAGTTTATAACCAAACGAGTAGAATACTCATATAGTCCGACTATATACGCGTATGGTCCAAACACTCATATGGTCCGGAACATGCCCATTAGACTTTAACAAAATGTTGAACTCGTTTGTAGAACATGATACTGGTGACTGCGCTAATGTTAACATAATATCACGTGACAGCTGGGGAGCTCGGAGACCAGGAAGTACATCGACTATCTATACGCCAGTTCCTGACTTTTTTATACATCATACTACAGGTGGAGCTTGTACATCATTTTCTGCATGTATCGCACAAATGAAAGGAATACAGAATTACCACATGGATGATTCTAACCACAGTAAGTCATTCAATGATGTCAATAAAACTCTAAATGACCTTTAATTTCAAAAAATAAATTAAAAAAATAGGATCATAAAAATAATACAAGATTATCACATGGATGATGCCAACCACAGTAAGCTATTCAATAAAGATAATAAAACTCAAAACTACTTGTAATATTGAAATAAATAAGAAAAAGAGGATCACAATTCTGCCCATCTGGTTTTCCCCTTGCTTTGCATCTATTTTCAAAGTAACGGAAGAAATCTGTAACAATAGACATGTTGTAAATAGAAAATAATGTTTCATTTCTTTAAGCAAAGTTTACCTGAGATGGATTGGGGTGTTGTTATTAGGTCCCTTTTGGTCACAACGCTCTTCGCGTTGTCGGTATTCAAACATTTTGTGCTTGCACTTTGGCATGTTGCTGCGATAAACACCAGTACCAATTCTCAAGTTTCCTTTGTAACGGCGACAGGTAAAATAATAAAAGTTATCTAGACAACTAAAAATTAAAAGAGCGTAGATAGATACCAAGGGACATTCGTCGAAAATAAACTGACAACTCCATTGATTAAAAATAAAAAAGACACAGAAAAACAACATTACGCAAAACACAACATAGAAAACTAAAGACTGAGCAACACGAACCCGACCAAAACTGGGGATGATCTCAGATGCTTTGGAAGGGTAAGCAGATCCTGCTTCGCATGTAGCACCCGTCGTGTTTCACATGTAAGTACAAACCCGGTGATAAAATTGAGAATGGAAATGGGGAATGTGTCAAAGAGACAACAACCCGACCGAAAAGCAGAAAACAGCAGAAGGCCATCAATAGGTCTTCAACACAACGAGAAAATCCTGCACCCGGAGTTGGGCTTCAGTCTTATTTGACGTTTTTACCTATTATATCTGTTTGTTTTGCTCACACATTGTTGTCAATATAATGGAATTCTATGCGACTGGCATACAATTGAGAGGTTTAGCTAGCTATAAAGCCAGGTTTTATCCACTATTTTCTAAATAAGGAAATGCCTGTACCATTTCAGGAATATTACAGTTGCTTTATATTCGTTAGATGAGTTTCCGTTTTGAATTTTCCTTGGAGTTTGGAATTTTTGTTATTTTACTTTTTAGTAGGTCAGATTCGGGGAAAAGGGAACGGGATTGTAGTTACGACAAATGGAACATACCCGTCGTCATATGTGAAACAGATATTCCATAACGGTCAACCAACTCGTGATGGGGGCCGTAAAATTTACAAATGGCAGATTTTAGTTTCACCACTTGGAACTCTTAGTTTAATACCTTCCTGTCTGAGGAAACAAAACCCCTGGAATATCGTAAAATATGGCCTAACAATACCTGATATATTTACAATGACTTTTTATACCGCCTTTGTTTATGTAAAAACAAATTAATAATTGTTTAATATTTACAGGGTGGGCAGACATTGGTTACAGCTTCCTCGTTGGTGAAGATGGGAAAATCTATGAGGGCAGAGGCTGGGATCAAGAAGGGGCTCATACTTTGGGCTATAACAGCCGTGGATTGGCCGCCTCATTTATGGGAAATTTTTCTACCCATGCTCCTAATTCTGCTGCTTTAAATGCTGTAAAAGAATTGATTCAGTGTGGAATCAGTAAAGGAAAAATTTCACAATCTTACGCTTTGTTTGGACATCGAGATGTTAGTTCCTCTGCCTGTCCAGGCACAGCTTTGTACAACGTCATCAAAACATGGGCTCGTTTTAAGGCACATTCTCCTTAATAATTTTTTTACGCTTTCTGATTGATTATTTCTACCACGAATAATAACAAACGAATTTATTTAATCCAATCATTCATTTTTCTGAAACATGAGCTATTGAATTTGAATATCGCTGTTCAGTTTGTGAAATACAAAATGACGAAATTTATAACTCCTTTTATGGAATGAAATGCATACTAAAATTACCTTGTCCGTTCGTTAACAAGTCTGTTTGTTCGAGCTTATGTAATTTTCATTAAATATTACTCAGCTTTTGTATTGCAGAACGATGTCATATTTCTACTGGGACTTTAAAATTTTGAGTAATACCGTGTAGGAAGCCATTTTCGGAGGGTACTTTTAATTTTTTTATACCCGATTAGTATGAAATACAAAGAAAGGAAAAATATCAGATAGTAAATAAACAATAACATAAAAACAAGGAGATTTGATATGATTGCCGATGAAAAAAACTATCCACAAAATACTAAAGAACAAATATGTTAAAACTACAGGTCATCGTACGCCGAGCAACTAAAAACCGTCTATTCTGCTATAAAAGTCCCCGAGGTGAAACTTTGATACCATGTACCAAACATCTGTTTTTCACTAGAACGACATATGGAAGAACAGTGTGTAAAAAATTGGTTTATTTGCAATGTTTGTAAAATCATAAAAAAATTACAAAAAACAACACAAATAATTCAAAGAAAAAAATTGTTATAAACAAACAAACAGGATTTGCATATGATTTTGAATAAAACTCTCGACTTTTCGATTTAAACACAGCATGCTCAACTATATATTCCATCGTGATAAAAAAAAATCAATCTTCATATGGGTTTAAAATACATGAAAAGTTGGTGTCTTGTTTTAATGTACAAAACAATTTTGTATTGGCCCCTTACACAAAAAACTGCTCCAACATAGTTACAAGAAACGCTTTATAGGTTGTGACTTATCTCCGGCTCTCCTCTGTTCTAATACACAGACTATAAATACAGTTTTGGTACCTTGGTAGCCGAGTGGTATAAGTAGTCGAACACTAAGATTGTGAGTTTGTGAGTTCGAATCCCGCACGTAGCAGGTGCGCTCGACTACAATCTAGAATTGTTAGTTTTCTTACCGATGGTCGGTGATTCTTTCCGGGCACTCCGGCTTCCTCTGCCAAAAAGAACTGACCGCCACGAAATAGCATAATAATGCAGAAAGTGGCGTTACACACCAATCAATCAACAAATGAATAAATATAACTTTAAGGCGTTATTCTTACCACACGATATTTACGCGACCATATTGTATAACAAGCTTCAAATTTTTTCTCTCCTTCAAATTGCGAAAACCACACATACATTGTACATTAATTAAACTATGTAAAATAACTCCTTTCAGATCGTATCAGAAAACTATCTGCGAAATCAAAAATCAAAGGATGATATGTTTCCTTAAAACTCACGAAAATAGTTATATAGAGACGGTCATAAAAGGCTGAGTAAATGAACGAGTGATTGATACCCGGTTGAAATATTCATATCGCATTTATATCACAAGCTGTTCCTGAAGAATGAATTGAGGTCTACTCCATTTTTCATAAAAAGTTTGTTCAACCCCTCTTCCATAGCAACCAGACTCAAGCTAGCGAACAATAAGCCAGCGAACAGTAAGATGCATCAAGCTAGCGAACAATAAGCCAACGAACAATAAGAAAACGCGCCAACATGATCATGCCTAAAAACCGAAGACTTGCAATAACACGAAACGTACTTATAAATCTGATGACAATAATTTCCAGTAGGAAAATGAAATGCAATTCCATTTTAACACAGACAATGTTAATTAGTTATTTATACAACTTTATTTTAAAGCCTAAAATTCCTTTTAGGTAATCCTTTCTCTTTTCTCTCCGATTAGAGATGCGTTTGTTGTCTTTATAATAATGAAACAATTAATAACAACAGTTCACACTCAACTAGTGTAGCGATACAATTAAATCTTCAAGCTTATAAATACGATTGAAAAGAAAAGAAAATAAAGAATTGTTAGATTTTCTGTTATATAGATACAATGGATAAGCGTGGATTCTTGAAAAAGAAACCATGAGCCCGGAGGGCGAATGGTTTGTTTTTCATGAATCCACGCTCATCCATTGTATCTATAACTTAAACTATTGTGTTAATTTCTTTTCAAAATTAAAGCCTTTTCTTAATTAGAAGGTATTGTAAGTGAGTTTTAATAACCATGTTATCGTGTCCAACGATGCATTGATAATTCTCAGATCACAATTAATTGGTTAACAAAATACAAATATAACACTTCTACCTTTAAAGATCTTTATATTATCAGGCATTATTTCTAATAAAATTGAGAATGGAAATAGGGAACGTGTCAAAGAGACAACAACCCGACCAAAGAGCATATATAAAGTATATATAATAAGTATGTTACCGAAATTTCTAGCACTCTAGGCACATCACGATTTTCTAGCATAGGAATTTGCGAACAAAATTTGTAAAATTATGTAGTAAAACAGATGAAATCATACTATATTTATACAACAAAAATTGACAAATAGAATGTAATCATTTTTGTTTCAAACATGTGAAATAGCCAATAATAATCCAAAAAATAAACACGCTATTATTACAAAAATATCCACTATAACATGCAAAATTAGAAAAAAAACAGAATTGGGACAACAGAGATAATACAGGGATTCGAACCTAAACCGACAAATCCTTATCTTTTAACTCGTTGATTTTAAGCATGCTAACCTCGCGGCTACCAACTTATACTATACGACTGCCCATTGTGTATATATAAAGGTACAACCCCTGTGTGTCCGATGTTCATTTATATATATAAAATAGACATCTAAGTTGTAACCCATTGGTAGCCGAGAGGTTTCGTCGATGTGTTGATGTCAGTCATTCATAGCAGATTTCAAGGAAGGGTTCGATTCCCAGTGAAGGCATATACAAATTACAAAAATTAAAGGTAAGTTTTTAAATTAATTCCATTAGTGAACAGAAATCAGCAAATTAGCCAATTCAAACTTAATGAAATTAGACACACAAAGGAAACAATTGAATATAATTTGGTGAGTCCATTTTAGCTGCAGATTTAGGAAGCGTTGATTCTAGAAAAAGAATCCACGGTAAATGAATAGGCTGACGTCACCACAATGGTTTAAGTAGAAATAAAAGCTGATAACCATCGTCAAAGAACTAGCTAGTTCATTTTTTTTCTAATTATTCAAAAGTAAATCGTCACTCTGGTCATTTATTAATTATATTTCAATAAGAAGAGTGATAAGTGTAAGAGTAACACACAAATAGAACAAAAAACGAGTTGACATAAAGATTTTGGTTAATCTAAACGACAATCTATTTGAATCCAAGCCTATGTAAAATAACTATAATCCGTAAAAACTTCCCTACGGCAAAGCTTTTGTCCACACTAGGCACAAATGATAGACAATTGCCCAAGGTTGCCTGGACCCAAAAACCCAGTAGGGTAAAGCTACGGATTTTTTTTAATTGAGGTCCAAAGTTGGGATATGGTGACCCAACCCCCTTCCTTCTTTAATTCATAAAAAAGTCCCTACTGCAAAGCTTTTGTCCCCACTAGGTACAAATGATAGACAATTGCCCAAGGTTGCCTGGACCCAAAGACCCAGGTAGGTAAAGTTACAATTTTTTTTTAATTGAGGTCCAAAGTTTGGGTAGGGTGATCCTACCACTTCCCAACTTTAATTCATAAAAAAGTCCATACGACAAAGCTTTTGTTCCAACTAGGTACAAATGATAGACAATTGCCCAAGGTTGCGTGGACCCAAAGAACCAGGTGGGTAAAGTTACGGATTTTTTTAATTGAGGTCCAAAGTTGGGGTAGGGTGACCTTACCACCTCCTATTTTTAATTCATAAAAAAATCCTTACGGCAAACTTTTGTCCACACTAGGTGCAAATGATAAGCAACTGCTTAAGGTTGCCTAGACTTAAAGACCCAGGTGGGTAGAATTACGGAATTTCCGCAACTCAGGTCCAAATTTGGGGTGTAGTAACCCTACCCCTCTCCTACTTTAATTCGTAAAAAAGTCCCTACGGCAAAGCTTTTGTCCAATCTAAGTACAAATGATAGGCAAATGCATAATGTTGCCAGGACGACTAAAGGACCTAGGTGGGTAAAGGTACGGAACACCTATAAATGAGGTCCAAAATTTAGGTATGGAGACCCTAATTCTACAAATTTCAATTCGTGTAAAAATTTCCATCGGGCAAAGTTTTTCGCTCAGATTAAGTACAACTGATTGATCATGGACTAAGGTTGCCCACACCCAATGACCAAGATGGGTAAAGTTACGGTACCTTTACAACTTAGGTCCAAAGTTTGTAGACCATATCTCCTAACTTTAATTCGTAAGAAAAATCACAGCAAAGCTTTTGTCCACTCTGGTAACAAATGATAGTCAATTGCCGACGGATGCCTGTACCTACAGAACCTGCAGGTGAGCGAAGTTCCAGAACTTCTACAACTATTTCATATTTGGGGTTTGCACACGATACCACATCCCTATTTTAATTTTGTCAAAAAATCATAACGGCTAAGCTTTTTTCTACGCTAGGAACAAATGATAGTCAATTCCCTATTTGTTGCCTGGAACAGATGGTCCGGTTGGATAAATTCTCGGAACGTTTGCAACTGAGGTCAAAAGTTGGGATATAAAGACCTTTTCCCCTCAAAACGCTAATTCGTAAAAAAAAATTCTCTACGCGGCAAAGAATGACCACACCAGGTACAGATGAAATTGAATGGCATAAAATTGCCTGGATAAGATGACCAATGTGAGTTTAATTCACGGAACTACTGCAACTGAGGTTCAAAGTCGGGGTAAGGAGATCCTTCCGTCCAAACTTTAATTGTTAGAAAATTTCCTACGATGAAGATCATGATAGGTAAGGCCTTGAAGTTGCCCGGACCAGATAGCAGAGGACGGTAAATTCACCGAATTTCTTCAACTGACTTGCAAAATTAAGGTATGGTGACCCCTACCCTCCTAATTTTGATATATATCACATGAATCTACAGTACCATACTAGAAAAAAAACCAAATTATTATTATCAGCTTCTTTAGCAACATGTTTTTCAGTACCTAGAATACTTAGTCCAACCAAGACGCTCGGTTATAAGTCCAGCTTAATAGACAGTTCTAGTTTTAACTTGAAATATTGTGTAATATTAAACACGCATTAACTATGATATCTAACCTGGCATAAAGGGTCGGTGTCGGCTTTTTAGAATATTTAACGTCTGTCGTTTGCAGTATGTAGTCGTCCGCCGTCATCATCCGTTTACTTTTACAAAAAGATTTTGCTCATTATAAAGATCTACTTATTTGATATTGTCGTCAGTTGACTATTTTTATTTTGTTGGTTTGTGCAGATAAATTTCTATGTTTTGTTAAATCTTGAGTGTAAACAGCATTCCCTGTTATTTTATCAACAGTTACTTTTCAAGTAGGAATTATGTGTTGTGTGAAATGGCTTTCCGTACTTTCGGCATCCTGTCAAATAGTTCCTAAAATAACATTTTTTGTAAAATACCGTATTTATAGACAATGTTAACACTATTCAAATGATTGCCCTTCAAGACAAATGTGTTTGTGTGAATAAATTTCTTTTTGAAAAAGCAGATTTCATTCTTCTTTTTGTTAAAGGCTAGCAAACTATATTATGTATCAATGTATGGTGCGCAACTTGGACCTCAATTACAAAAATTCCGTAACTTTACCCACCTGGGTCTTTGGGTCCAGGCAAGCTTAGGCAATTGCCTATCAAATGTACCTAGTGTGGACAAAGCAGTAGGGACTTTTTTATGAATTAAAGAAGGAAGGGGGTTGGGTCACCATATCCCAACTTTGGACCTCAATTAAAAAAATTCCGTAACTTTACCCACCTGAGTCTTTGGGTCCAGGCAACCTTGGACAATTGCCTATCAGTTGTACCTAGTGTGGACAAAAGCTTTGCCGTAGGCTTGGATTCAAATAAATTGTCGTTTAGATTAACCAAAATCTTTATGTCAACACGTTTTTCGTTCTATTTGTGTGTTACTCTTACACTATCACTCTTCTTATTAAAATATAATAAATAAATGACCAGAGTGACGATTTACTTTTGAATAATTAGAAAAAAATGAACTAGCTAGTTCTTTGACGATGGTTATCAGCTTTTATTTCTACAGAAAATCTAACTTTTTTTTTTCTTTTCAATCGTATATATTAGCTTGAAGATTTAATTGTATCGCTACACTAGTTGAGTGTGAACTGTTGTTATTAATTGTTTTATTGTTATAAAGACAACAAACCCATCTCTAATCGGAGAGAAAAGAGAAAGGATTACTTAAAAGGAATTTTAGGCTTTAAAATAAAGTTGTATAAATAACTAATTAACTTTGTCTGTGTTAAAATGGAATTGCATTTCATTTTCCTACTGGAAATTATTGTCATCAGATTTATAAGTACGTTTCGTGTTATTGCAAGTCTTCGGTTTTTAGGCATGATCATGTTGGCGCGTTTTCTTATTGTTCGTTGGCTTATTGTTCGCTAGCTTGATGCATCTTATTGTTCGCTGGCATCGATTGTATTGATAAAATTTTATATATATCTGCTTTTGTGGGGCTTGATTTTCGTGTCAAAGATATTTTCTTGTTTCCGAATCCCTGTATTTTATATTGTATTATTGTAATATGTGCACTTTTGAAAAGTGAAATATTGTTTGAACTAAAGATATGTACCCGACACCGTTTTAATTCACGCTAATCTGACATTCATGAATTGCTTCGTTATAACTTCTGCGATAACTTGCATACGATCATCACATTCTTTATTGTCCGTGTAATGCATGCTCCTTAATTAACACTTCTCCTGTACAGTGTTAACGTATAAAGTCTGTTCTATAAACAAAAAAGGAGATGTGGTATGATTGCCAATGAAACAAAAATTGACCAGAGACCAAATAATGTAGATGATAGCAACTATATGTCACCATACGACCTTCAACAATGAAAACAAACCTACACCGCATATATAGGAAGCTATAAAAGGTCACAACATATCAAAATGTAAAACAATGCGAGGAATCAAAGTTAGCGGTCTAATTTATGTACAAAACAAGCAACAAACGAAAATCACATACGATGTTTGATATTCAGCAACAAACGATTTGTATTTAAAGTATATGATATTTCATTCTGTGTTGCAATTTTAAAATATTTTATCCTCTAATGGTTTTTGAGCACTGTAACGCGGCCAGCTTTGAACCACGTTATAAAATGCAGTGCCGGGAGAGGCTGTGGTTCCAATATCACGATGACCGTATAGTCTATAATTCTTAGAAATATAATTGTTATAAACACCACACTGTATCAGAGCTTTAACTTCCGCTTGCGATTGATTATTAGGCAAATGATCCATGAAGTTTCCAATAAAGGAGGTTGCCAGGCCAACAGTGTTATAGTGTTTTGTGTGAGCACCTTCTCTTCGAAATCCTCTTCCTTCATATAGTCTACCATCTTGTCCTACCAGAAAACTGTAGCCTATGTCGTAATATTCTGAAAATAGGAATAAGTTGTTTAATAAGTAGAAATAACCTGTTCCCTTCTTGTCAAAGAGGCTCTACACACGGCAGTTAAAATTCGTCAGATTAGTAGTGTCCAAGAGAATGTCAACCGTAATCTTTTTATAATTACGTAATATCTACAACGTAATTTACAGACAAACTGCATCATTTAAGTATGCAAACACCAAAATCCATGGCTTCTGCACGGATGACTGGTACCCTGCAGTATACTGATAGTCCACTAGCATTTGTTACAACCGAGTGGAAATAAAAAAAACTATAAAACCATTCCAAGTCACACCACACATGGTTCTTGGCTTTAAGTAATCTTTGTTAGATAACACTCTAGAACAACCAATTGTGAACACATTTATACCAAAAGTATTTTTTTCAGAGCAGTTAAACGATTTAGAGGACACCTGAATGACTTGCAACATTTGTTTTAGGTAAAATACAAAATGTAAAACGTGAAATTTATGTAAATTGAATCCACTTAATCATTTAAACTGTTTAAAACATCAAGTAGTTGTATTTCGGAGAGTTAGGTAGTAATTGCAGTTCTTTGATCGTTTCTGTTAAATTTATTTACAACCCTTATAGACTTGGGGCAGGTTAGAGCTTGCCATATTGTATAGACACATGTCTATTGTTTAAGACTCTTAATTGGTTCATCTTCCTTGAAAAAAGAACCTACGTCGATGAGGATCATCCATATGATAATTCTGAATTTCTTTCATCAGATTTGTACACTGTACAAACGAGTGACACTCTCGTCCTGCAGTGTGATGTATGAAAAAGTAAGGTACAGGATTTGGTATGTTTGATACTTTAACAGGTCGACGTGCTCCCCAACTGTCACGTGATACTATCTGTAAGTTACTACAGTAACCAGCGTCTTTTTCTGAAGATAAAGAGAAAAAAAGAAATACAAAACCTAGAATCCCGAAACAAAAACCAAACAAATTCATACACAATCATGTCGACTTATATAACGGACGTTGAAATAAAACGAAGCAATACAAAAACTTCAAAGGATACTGCAGGAACAGCACCTATTCAGTTTGAATTGCTGGCAGTTGTTCACACTACTGATTGCGTTTTACATAATTTATTAAGGTAATATATAAACAGTCAGCTATGCTGTTTGACCACACCGGGTATACCGATCACAGCTATGCTCCGTGGGCATCGGATCCAGATTTAACTTACGAATTGCACTAAACAAAGTGTTATTGTTCCTCGGGATTCGGATTCCTCCGCGGTATTCGGAATGGGATACCCGGTGTGTTGACTGATACTTATTTATTTATTTGAGAATAATCGACAATAATGAAAATATGTAATGTTTCTATTATCTTATGCAAACTAGACATTATAATTTAGAAATTCAAGTAGATATTGACACATTGAAATCCAGTGCAGCCATGTATTTTTCGTACACTACGCATAACTTCATTACTTTACCAACTGCGGTCTGTGTACAGCATCTCCGGGTTTCACCTCCTGAACATTTACCGCTATAATAAGACCCTGGGCATTTGTTGTTGTCATCCTGACACTGTCCCTTAATTTCTAAACATGCCTGGTCACTATCTAAAATGATAAATGAAATAAATTGCAACAGAACTTCACAAACATTGCCTGCATGAATAACAGTCATTAGCAGTGAACCGATGTTCAAGTCTCATAAATTCATTTTGAATATACAAGAAATCAAAGTACTGAAGTACTGAACATCGGATGACCACAAGTTCTTGAGGATGGTCAAAAGCACTTGTCTCAGAAAAAAACAACATATCTCTTTACTTAAAACTGAGGTTAATGTACAGAGATATATTTTTTTCTGAGACAAGTTCGTGCGTGGATGATGAATAAATGACAGGAAATTCAACTTCACCGTAATAACTATTATATTGTAGTGATACAAATCAGTATACACTGAGTTGTTGTTTATATTATATTAAAATAACAGTTACATATATATATGATTTGAATCCATTTGTATATCATTCTATTCTACTATTCTAAAAATAGTGCAATGCAAGTTCATGGTGGACACTTTTCTGTAAAAATTCGATTTTTCTAAGATTGGATACGAGTAGGCATTCATATTTTCCCGCAAAATCAATTACAGAGTTACTGGTCCTTGAATGTATTTTCACAAAACGTTCTTTGAGATATTCTTCCGCATGCTTTAACACAATTTTTCGGTACGTGTGCATTGATATCATCAATGATTTTTTACTTATATATATATATCTAACTACAAAACATTTTCATATTATTAATTTATGTTGTAAACAAAAATATTTTTATCAGTATTCATTGAAGAGATGTATTTATATCAAACGATAAGGAATGTTATTTTGCACTCGTTTATGTGCGCGTATTTATCATGTTTATAGATCGGTTACAAACCCAAAACTAATTTACATAATGGAAATCTAGGCGATAGCAATACATCGGGATGACCTCAAGGTCATCGTGATGTAAAAATGTAGCATGTAGCCACATCTTTCGAGACATTGTGTATTTTGAGATGACCCACAGTTTAGTTTACCTGTAATTATCATCGTCAACTTAAAAGTTATGGTGAACAATAGTTTCCGAAAATGTCTATTGACAATCATACCACATCTTATTTTTATATTTACATGTATTCACGTCAAGTGCTGTTTCTACGTACTTTTACAATTACAAATACTTTTAAAAAGGGCGTATAAAAACTGATTTACTAAATGTAACAGCAATAAGTTACATTATCATGATTATAGTTTACTTACTTAGAGAATCAACTTGCAGTATAAGAAATGCAAAACACAGTACTAAGGAAACAGCTTTCATTTTGGTTTGCTTATCGCCCTTGTTATCAAATTCGTGATAGCAGTTGTCATAACACAATCTAAATTATGTAATATGTCATTCATGCCGGATATGAAAATTTAAAAAGAGATACATTAGTACATTATGGAATTTTATATCCTTATTAAAATGACAAAAATGATTAACAATTTCCTGCTTTCTAGATATTAATTAACTTTAAGGTGGTACCAAACATCTTGACTAAAATTAATTTGGCTCGTTTAATTTTCATCAAATTTTGACAAAATATTTACTTTGACCCTTTGACAAAAATAAAAAAAAAAAAAAAAAAAAATAGAACCACACACTTTATCGGAAAAATTTCGTTGGATATATAGCAGTTTGACAAATGCTAATTTTGATCATTGAGAAGCTTAATATTTCCATAACAATAGAACGTGATTAAAACGTTCAGCTGATTTTTACAGAGTTATCTCCCTGTAGTGTTATGTACCACCTTAAATGAGTTCCAATTGTAAATATAGACATTTAATTACTTATAATCCAGATAGCGTCAAATAGCAACTAACAAGTGAACGCATAGATTCAGCAGTCTAACTATACAAAAGCCATGTACAATATGATAAATAAAAGATTAGAAGATATGACTGCATTAAATTCATGATGAACGTCGAATGTGTAGGAAACTCTGATTCGTAATTTTGGTTGGAAATGCGACGATTAATTCTTTCGTGGCCATAATAGTTGTTGTTACCGAATTTTTCTAAACATTTTTTTTTTTTTGATATTTGATAGAATTATTATTTTCATGATCCGTAATAAGGAGAGCAAAGAGATTAGCGAATTCCAATTGGTACTTATTCACGGACAATGTCAAAAAGTCCGAATTAAAGGAAAAGCCGAAGATATTATTCAAACTGATTAAGGTCGACTTCAGGAAAAGAAGATGGTACAAATTAGGCAATGAAAAATGATTTTCCATGCAAAAAATAAAAAAAGCAGAAAGACAAACAGAAGCAATGTATGTAGATGGGGAAAGCGACATACATACATACATACATACATACATACAGAACATTTGTTGTTCGACCTGTTAGTCAAATGCGTTTTGTAAAAATATACTTTTTCACTTTTTTGGTCTTTTGGAAAATGTTGTTTGTGCTGTATTTAGACTCCTCTAACAAGAAATTTGTTTTGCATGCACACATATAAAAATTGCGGTTTTTATCCAACGCAATCATAGGTTTGAACGTTGTTTTCAATTTAGACTTGTATTTATATATATATATATATGTGTGTGTGTGTGTATTGAGAGTTGCGGAAGTAACTTTGTGCTTCAAGCTCTTTTGCCGGCGAAAAAACAAAAAGAGGTCTTTAATCAAATAAAGGTTTTGCCTCTTCGTCATTTTTTAATTCATCGTGTTTTGAAATCTTTTTCTTGAAATGTGGTATATGTCTTGAAAACATTGTGGAGAATACCAAGGGATGCGACTGTAACAAAACAAAATTGGGTTTACAATCAATGTGTCACTTGTTTGGTTTGCTGTCTGTAACATCCTGTATAACAGTTTAATTTCATTTTCTTTATATCCCTTTTCAATTTAGACTTGTTTATATTTTTTCGTTTGGGCTTGTATTATATCTGCTTTCGGGTTTATATGATCCGTTCATCCTACTTTGACTCCTCAAAATTCAAGAGTCTATCCTAAATTGAGGTAAATTATATGGCCTTCCTAATACCGTTTCGATTCCTAACATCACTGAAGAGACATTAATTGTCGAAATCCGGATATGGTGTACAAAAATCTTTGCACCTTTTGTTTGCGGTATACCATCTTTGGTTTATTGTGCCCTGATTGGTATTAATTTATAAATAAGATCCATTTATTACACCTGGTGATCCGTTTATTTGGCAATCGCCAATGGCAGTCGACAGGGTTTAAGAACATTTGTTGAGCAAATGTGACGGGATAATATTGTTTAATTGGTCAAGATCTATCGGCTCTGAAATTTTCAGACGAATCGAACAATCCATTGTTGGGTTGCTGCCACCGAATTGGTAGTTTTAACAAAATTTTGCAGTTTTTTGTTATTATTTTGAATATTATTATAGATATATATAAACTGTAAGCAGCAATAATGTTCAGCAAAGTAAGATCTACAAAAAAGTTAATGTGACCATAATTGTCAATTGACCCCTTAAGGAGTTATTGTCCTTTAAAGACAATTTTACACAATTTGTTCATCAAGGTTGCTAACATTTAAAAATCTTCTCCTCTGAAACTACTGGGCCAATTACCTTCAAACTTTAACTAAATGTTCCTTAGGGTATATTGTTTATAAATTGTATCCGAAGTTTGTATCCATTGACAAACATGGCCGCCATGGCTAAAAATAGAACATAAGGGTCAAATGCAGTTTTTGGCTTATATCTCAAAAGCTAAATCTTTTAGAGCAAATGTGATATGGGGTAAAATTGTTTGATTGGTCAAGATCTATCGGCCCTGAAATTATCAGACGAATCGAACAACCCATTGTTGGGTTGCTGCCACCGAATTGGTAGTTTTAACAAAATTTTGCAGTTTTTTGTTATTATTTTGAATATATTTAAACATATATATAAACTGTAAGCAGCAATAATGTTCAGCAAAGTAAGTTAATATGAACAAAATTGTCAATTGACCCCTTAAGGAGTTATTGTCCTTTAAAGACAATTTTACACAATTTGTTCATCAAGTTTGCTAACATTTAAGAATCTTCTCCTCTGAAATACATGTGAGCGATTCAGGCTCTTGAGAGCCTCTTGTTCACTTCGTTGTTTTCAATACATACATACATACATACATACATACATACATACATACATACATACGGAAATAACAATTGTAATCGAAATGCTACCATTATGCTTCAGTAACAGAATTTGCTGCAAAATACAATGTAAGTGAAAAGAGTTGTCCAACAAAATAGAGTATGCAAGAATCAGCCTCCTTATTCCCATTGAAGACATTGCAATTATACGTGTCATTTGCATTTACACAATACCTTTAAAACGTTTGAAAAGAAGATCAGGGTTTTATCTATATTGATTGCCACTTTTGGTTTAAAAAAAAATACCGTGTAAGTAAAATGATGGCTTGCTGACGCGGGAAATGATTTGAAAAGTTCTGTGATCTTTCACGATTCATTTGGCTTTGGACACATGCAGTTTTTCTTGCCTCAACAAAATAAACAAGAAAGAGTATACTAGTATATAAAAATAAAAAGGGTATATCTGAATTCGCAAATGTGCAACTCGTCAACTGAAGACGATTCATTTTTTTTAAAATCTCACAAGTGGTGTCACTTAAGTAATACTAAATGAAATACTTTATTCCTTAAATTGTCTTTTAACGTGTCATAAAAAGAGTACCGCTTCGATGTGAAATATTTTCAATTAGCACATGCAATTTATAATATAAGAAGGACATCGTGTCTGAAGTTCTACCATTATGAATGGTTTCGAGCGTCACTGATGAGTCTTTTGTAGACGAAACGCGCGTCTGGCGTACACATTTCAATCCTGGCATCTATGATGAGTTTATTTGTATCCAGATCCCATTTCTGTTTAACTGCAATATACTATCAGCCTATTTTGCCATTGCAATGTGTTTACATGGTCATCTTTCAATTTTGTTTCGAATGCATTTCAATGTGTAATATTTGTCACTGAAAGTGATGTAATTAAACAGTTGGAAAAGGTTTGTTCAAATATGATTAAATAGAAACAAATAATAAAATCAAATGTTATAGAAGTGATGAGAAAAGGGGTCAAACTATAACGTAAAATATAAAGTTATGGGAAAAGGAGGTAGTGTATTTTAAGTTTTAAATTTCAATAAAAAGTCAAATTTAACCATACTGTTTATTCTCGTGTTTTCTTGTTGAAATTATTGGCGCGCTTCTCTGTTGTCTTAAGGGTTTGAATTTTAGAGATTGTGTCCTTTTCCTGATGGTGACAATTTGATTGATTGTGGATTCGCATGGCCGGTGATGCACCCACAACAGGAAACGCTTACCCTGTCGATGCACCCAGTCTCGCTCCTTTTGAAGTGCAAGCGATGTTCTTTTCTTTTCATTTGTTACTTTGTCTCTCATTAATATATTTACGAGATTTGAACATTGGCAAACTACTGTCGTCTTAATTTAGGGGGTAAATCATAAAAGGTAGATATCATTGTCTGAATAAAAACATATCTCTTACCTATACGAGTTAGATGAGAAGAACCGACGCAAGTAAGTTTGATTTCGATTTATATTGAAAAATCTAAACCTCATTTAATTAAGGTAAATAGAAACTGATTTGCACAACAGATTTTTATAACTAAGAACATGTAATACTAATATGCAGAAATTGAAGAAATTCGAAAATTTAAAGTGGAAACGAACTAGAATAGACAAATCTTCTGTGGTAGTTGGAACAGTTGTAAGAAATTAAAACATACACAAATCGCTAACAAAACATTGCGTTATGTAAGGTCCTCAATGCTCTTCAGCTTCGTACTTTATTTGTTTCTTTTTTTTAATTTTTGATGCGAGCGTAACTAATGAGTCTGTAGATGAAACGCACGTCTTGCGTACAAAATTATAAGGATTAGCATAGTATTCGTGATGAGTCATTTTACTGAGAATAATTAAATAAATGAACGTTAACACTTCTTGTTATGTATAATTCATGCTTTAAGCCGTATGAGAAATGTAATGAGACAAACATATATATTGGTGTTTCTTTTAAAATCACCAGACATTCTCTTTCGGATAACACGTGGTTATACAGGGCTAGCTTACACCATAATATATATATATATTTCGTCTCAAATTTATATATATAGATATAAGAAGATGTGGTATGAGTGCCAATGAGACAAATCTCCATCCAAGTCAAAATTTATATATATATATATAATGGAAGAAAACCAATCAAACATCTGTCTACTGAGCTGATGATACCCTAGTAAACGAAAATAACGCTTTATAAATTCCGTGCGTTTATACTCTATTTTTTTTAGCAGTGCAAAACATGTACTGAGAAATATTTTT